AGGTGACTGTATTTCACTTCACTTTCTAATAAGTAGAAACATAACTGTCATTTTAAACTAAAAAGCAATCTTTCCCAGTGTAAAGAACAGAAAATATTTACTGTGCCATTTGATCTTCTTAAAAGTTAATAATTTCAATGAAACATAACTTCTGAGGTAATTAAGAGGTTAAAGACCCTGTGTGCATCAAGCAACATGAATATATTTCAAGGTCAGGGAAGTGTAAGGCCATTAATAAAAAAATATATGCTTTTCGTTTATGTCCACTTTGATCCTGCTTCATAACTGGGTTTGAAAATGTAGTCTCATTGAGAAATAGGATATTACACCTGAAGTACTTGTAAATTATGGGAGAATAAATTCAGAAATTAGAAAATGTTAATTTAAAATTTTTATTTCAAAAAGTTTTTTCAAAGCCATAATGTATTGTATAAAAATGAAGATGATCTCAGGTCTGATCATCTGTCTTCTGAGAAAAATGCTGCAAATAAATAATAGCCCAAAGTTAGAGGATCCAGAGAATTAACTTTGTTGATCCAGAATTCTTTGGTAGTTACTGCTGGTATGAGCTCTCTAGCAGAAGGTGAAATTGTGTCTAATACGAAGAAGACCTTCTCTTGATTCTTCTTTTGAGCCAATCAAAATTAATAAAACCCAGCTGTAGTTACTAAAACAAAAAAGTGCATCTGGGCAATAATGATTTTCCTTCATAAAACCATATGGATTTAATGAAACTCCCAGTGCAAAAATATGGAGAGACAGACAGATGGATGTTGAGGCTTCAGCCCAGAAATATTTTCCATCATACTGAGGATAAATTTTATTTCAAAATTTTAGTTTTAACTAAATTACTTCAGTTATTTCAGTATTCATTTTTTTCTTGATAGCAACAGCATTTAATAATACAGAAGTTTCAAGGGTTTGAAAGTTTGAAGAAGAAATTATGCTCTTGCTAAACTAGTTACAAAACCCGTTTTCAATATTTTACCAGAGTGATTGCAAGCCAATAAAAAGAGTATCAAAACCAGATGCTACTGTAACAATGCTACTTATCTATATCAGTACACATGCTGAACTGATACTCACTGCTATTTACTGATTATAAAATAATGCCAAAAATTATTAAACACATAAATGAAAATACCCTTAATATTAAGGGTCGAATTGAACAGGGGTAATTCTAGAAAATTAAGTTAAATTAATGCCAGTATTATTAGATATGCATATCTGTTTGCACACAGGCATTTGCATGTAATTGTCATGCCTATATATAACTAATAGGACACAGTGCCAACATCTAAACTTAGTGTCATTCAATAACATTTATGGCTATTACATTAGGTCTGAATTACAGAACTGCAAGCACATGGGAGAATGGAATCTCTGCCATAGTAAACATAGGCACTTGTAACAGAATAAAAAAAAGATAAATCAGAAAGTCAGGGAGAACAGCTAGATAATTTTTGTTTGTGTTTGACATATATGAGGTGTCATTTCCCATTGAGTCTTTTAGGTTTAAGTCTTTTTAGATATTTTTAAATGAAAACTATTTGGAAATTATCTGAACATTGCACTGAACTTTATTTTTCATCAGTTTTCAGTGCCTGCCTAGTCAAGTCACACAGAAAAAATGAGGGCTAATGGGCACAAGTTAATTCTGGGGAGATTCTGACTGGACACAAGAATAAAATTTTTCACCATGATAACAATCAGCCATTGGAATAATCTCCCCAGGAAAGTGGTGGATATCCCAGCAGTGGATGTTTTTAAGATTTGGCTGGACAGGGTCCTGGGACATCTAGTCTTGATCATGCTTTGCCTAGAAAGGTTGGAGCAGATGACTTTTTATGTCCTTTCCAACCAGCTATTCTATGATTCTATGCTCCTTCTTCTATAAATATGTTATTCTTCCTATGGAGTTAACATTCAGCTTAATTTAAATGTCATATTTAGATTTTAAATTATTCTTAAATCTATTCTATGGCCAAATAACTGGAAGACCAAAATATCAGCTTCATATGTCATTTTAAGGAAAAAAATAACTAACAACTGAATAACTAGCAACCTGTGAAGGAAACAAACATATTTGCTTATTGATTTAACTTTATAAATAATGCCACAACACCACCTGACTCTTTGCATTGAACATCAGGGGAAAAAAATTGTCAAAAATGGTAATAGAAAGAAAAATATCTATTGAGTTTCAATTCTCTAGCAGACATGTAGTTTGCATGGGATGCTGTTGGTCTAAATGAAACTCTTCACTGATGTTGTTTCCCTACACTGTCGTAAATCATTAAATAACATTGTTATCAGTCAAAAAGTGTTTCTCCTCTACAGTTGTAGCAGCAATTTCTAAATTATTTCTAATTTTTTTTTTTACTAAAATTCTGAATTACATGACATTCTTAATCGTAGTATGTATTAGCTTGTACTGAATGTCATTGCAACATAGAAGTCAAGGCTTGATTTTCGTCCTTTAAATTACAAGATATTGCGAAGAAAACTTTCATCTGCAAAGATTCAGCACTCTTTATTATTCATGATTTTGCAATGTTAAACATAGTTGATGTTACTCTTTCCAAAGTATCTGCCTGATTGATCCACTTAGGGGGAAAATCATCATAATTTATTCCTTATGTCGTCTACAGAAGCAGAAGTCTGCAAGGATTCCTAAATGACGATAACCAGCTACTACTGGGAAAAAATAAATAATGGTAGTCTCCCCATTGCTTAGTGCTCTCCTAGTCTATAGCTGTTTTCATCTCAGAAGACATCTGTAACATGATTTCTCTGTCCTTAGTAAATCCTGCTGGATGCCTATTGCTTGAATTTATCTAAGCTTTCCTGGATACTTTGTTCACAGTATCCTTTGGCAGGATTTTTTTTGGTCCCATGCTTCCTGCTATGCAAAGATGATTTTATTTTTGCTCAGTTTGGATTCACTTCTGTTTCCACTATCTTGATATATGTACTGTAAAAGCCAAGAAAATATGTAATATTTTGTGACAGTGCCCTGAAAGACATCAGAATTTTATTATTTTTAAGGAATGATAAATTTAAAGGCCTAATGGATAGAGAAGTAGACTCACCACAACCTGCTGAGGACCACTGCACTAGAAACGTATCATAGCACTAATAAAGACAGACTTCATTATCAGATGCATTTGTTCATTCCCCAGATCTTTAGTGAACTAATACCTCTTTGAGGGGTACTATTTTGGTAATAATAAAGATTTAACTGAATACAACCAAAGCCCTTTGGGAGTTTTTCCATCTATTTTCGTTGATCCTCAGCATAGTTCTTTATGTCTGTATAATAATTCCTGAATTTTAATATTTCTGGTGACTCATACATTTTTAGTTGAAGTTTCACACTGCAAGGCAGTTGCTAGACTTGAGAAAAGCACAGAACCATGATAGTATAGTACCAAGACTCAGTTAAGAAATAAGACAGGGTAGGGATATCACAATAGTGGCAAGGGTTGGAGTGTATAGAGCACCTGTGACTGTGATTTACTGGCCGGATTTTAAGGTTGTACCTTAGTAAGGACATTTAGAGATTTGATATCTGGCTACAGTAGATCTTACTGATAAGGATTCTGTGCATAACCATAAAGTTGAAGTGACACTTCAGGCTCTTAGCAACATACTCTTTGTGTAAGAAAGGGATATCTGAAAATATCTATCTTTGAATTGGCTACAGCATAGGCTCAGTCTGTCTCTGTCCTTATGAAAAAAAAAAACCCAAGCCAAACAGAATATCTACCCATAGACAAAAAAACCCTTTTTCTTTGGTGGGAGGGAGGGTGGGGGGATGGTGTCAAAAGACTTACTGGGGTGGTATAATTTCTTTTACTGCAGAGATGTGAGAACTGATTATACTGCCTTTATTTGATTCCAGTGATGCAGCCATGAAGTGGTAATAAAGTATATTCTTAACACTATTCCTTTTTTATTGTCCTTAATTACTTACATAACTTTCAACAGTTATGTGAGATATCCTAACTGAGAAGTGAGGTTAGCTCTCATGTCAGTATCACAACCTGAAGAATAACAGTGGAAATCCAGATAACATATTTAATTACTTGTTTAAAATATCTTCTTACTATGTTTGAATAAGTTTTCTCTGATTTCCTTCTGCCACTTGTTGACGTATTGCCCCGCAAGTCTCTTGAACTCGTGTAAACCAAGTGTCGTCGTTTAACCCCAGCCAGACAGCTTTTACTCACTCCCACCCCTTCATGCCCTCCCCCTACTCCTGGAGGGATGGAGAGGAGAATCAGAAAGAATGCAATTCCCATGGGTTGAGATAAGAACAGTTTAGTAACTAAGGTATAACACAAATCACTACTGCTACCACCAATAATAGTAATGATAAAGGAAATAACAAGGGGAGAGAATACAACACCTCATCACCAGCCGACCGATAACTTGCCCCCCAGCCTGACCAAGCACCGACCGATACCTCCTCCAACCCTGCAGTCCACCTTGCCCTTCCGGGTAACTCCCAGCTACCTCCTGGGCATGACGTGCTGTGGTATGGAATACCTCTTTGGTCAGTTTGGGTCAGGTGTCCTGTCTCTGTTTCCTCCCGGCTCCCCCTCCTCCCTGGCAGAGCATGAGGCTCACAAAGTCCTTGGCCAAACCAAAACATCATTTTTATCAGCTCTGTTCCCAGGCTGAAAGTCAAAACACAGCACTGCACCAGCTACCAAGAAAGAGAAAAATGACTGCTACTGCTAAACCCAGGACATTATCCACCCCTTATTCCACACCATTCACATCATGCTCGGATCCTACATTTTCAATATACCATCACCCTTATCTAAGTGCACTCTCATCGTAGTGCATGGGCCAGTCCCTATAAAGCTGCTGAGTCCATCTGGTCCATGATGCCAGGCTCCATCTCTTGTAACAGTCTTTCAGAGCACGAGAGGCTGTGTGCAGTGCTCACACTTGTTAATAACCTGGGCAATAGTGTCCATTGCTAAGTCCACCCCTCGATCATGAGTCCATCTCGATGTTGCATCTCTGCTCTGTTGGCCTGAAATGCCATGGGCCCACCAGGCTCAAAATAATTCACTGCCCCTTTCAGCAGTTTCTGCAGCTTGTAGCTGGGGACTCCATACAGCTGCCTTCCATCTGCAATGCTTCCAAAGCACTGGAGGGGCCCAGTGGACTAGATACTTGCCCATACTGTCCCACATGCCCTGCCACTCATGTTTGTCCAGCCTTGGGAAAAACCTCTTGGTCTTCCCATATTGTTGTCTAATCCCAGACAAGACCCAAACCCGACTTTGCTTAAATTTTGGGATCAGACAAAATGGTGGTGGGTAAAACACACTGTGTGTGTGTGCCAACATGCTGATCCCCATCACAATCAGGGGGCAGGTCCCAAGGATACCCAAAGGCCATCCAAAACCTTCAGAACTCTCAAACAATGCTGCTGTACTTGTCACTGTGGCTGGTGTAGCTGCTGTGCTTGCCGGCTCTCTCACCATCAGCTTCTCTTTTCCTGAGTCCAGCTCTTCCTCCTCTGCCTTGCTGAGAAATGCTGCAGGGTCTCCTGCGTCCTCCTGGGGCTCGGCGGGCGGCTTCCGGGGAATGCTCTCGGCCATCACGAGGCTCGGTGCCGTCGCAGGGCTCGGCTCCTCCACGGGGCTCGGCTCCCCTTAACCACCTTCTCCCGCTGCTCGGCAGCCGGCTCCTCCCGCTCCTCGACTGCCCCGACCTCCTCCACCGGCAGCTGTCCCCTTGCGGCCTCTGGTCCCACTCCCGTCGTCACTTGGTCCCCGGGGCCGCTCTCCCGGGCCGCTTCAGCAGCCGCCAGCTCCTGGGGCCGCTCCCCCTTGGCTCCCCGCGGCCTCACACAGACGGAGGCTAGGGCGAGGGCCAGGACAGTGAAGAGCAACCGGACGGCCAGGGACCAGTCCACAGCCACGTCCGTCCCGTCCTGCTGCTGGAGCCCACCCGTATTACAAGTGATTGCCATAAAGTACAGTGAGACAGGAACCTTAGCCCAAGCCCCACACTTGATAAACACTAACACAGCAAATACCGGCTCTAGGTAAGTTACAACATTCTGAAGCTGTGAGATCAAGAGGAACAACTCTGAGAGCCAGTAAATCAGCATTGTGACGAGTGACTATTAATCCGGTCAGATCTGTCGTTATCTCAAGCCCTTCGTGCCCCACGTTGGGCGTCAAAAAGAACTGTCGTCATTTAACCCCAGCCAGACAGCTTTTACTCACTCCCCCCCCCCCCCCCCCCTTTCTTGCCCTACACCTACTCCTGGGGGGACAGAAGGAGAATCAGAAAGAATGCAACTCCCACTGGTTGAGATAAAAACAGTTTAGTAACTAAGGTATAACACAAATCACTACTGCTACCACCAATAATAGTAATGATAAAGAAAATAACAAGGGAAGGGAATACCCCATCACCAGGCAACTGATAACTCGCTCCCCCAGCCCAACAAAGCACTGACCGATACCTCCTCCAACCCAGCAGTCCACCTTGCCCTTCCGGGTAACTCCCAGTTACCTCCTGGGCATGATGTGCTGTGGTATGGAATACTTCTTTGGTCAGTTTGGGTCAGGTGTCCTGTCTCTGTTTCCTCCCGGCTTCCCCTCCTCCCTGGCAGAGCATGAGGCTCACAAAGTCCTTGGCCAAACCGAACCATCATTGTTATCAGCTCTGTTCCCAGGCCAAAAGTCAAAATACAGCACTGCACCAGCTACCAAGAAAGAGAAAAATGAGTGCTACCAAGTAATTCAATACAGTGTGATAAGAAAAGAATATTGGATTCTCACATGTGAAGAGAGAACTCTAATTAAACCCTGATACAGTGTTCATCCCTGACTCCCTGCAGACAGGGGGAGTCTATTTCTGACTTTTGACTTTGCTTGTTTTCTGACTTCTGTGTTCCGGTGGACCTAAAGTTCTGTGGCTTTAAAGATCAGAATATAACAAGAGCACAGATGTTCAAATAGAAGACTTACAAAATAGTATGTATCACTACGTAATGTACTCATCTAGTTTAGCAATTGAATGGAGAAATATTTTCCTGGTATGTCTGTTTTATGCCCAGGTTCTAGGTAGGTTTTTTTAAATATTTTTTTTAATATCTCTGTTTCATATTCATGCTAAGATCTCACACCACTGCTTTTTGTAATAAATCTATATTGCAAAAGAAAAAAACTCTATATTGAACTGGATCTTACAGAACACTACCCCTAAACACTCTAGAATAGTAAATTCTACCTGTTGGGCATTCCAGAAAAATTTTCAGCTAGAAGACAGAAATCCAGTCAAGAATTCAAGGTTTTTGCCTCAACATTTGTCAGCTTCAGAAAACAAGCTTCACTAAAATAAAAGAGGTTCAGGTAGCATGTTATAGAAGAGACACACTCTTCGAGAAACTGGATTGAGAAGAAAGCATTTTTTTGTCATGACATGATTTAGTTCTACGAGTTATGACAGTCTACAACAGAGTCCAGTAGGGAAGAAAGGAAGTAAAAGAATAAAGAAAATTTAGAAGACAAAGCCAAAAAAGCAAAAATGAATGTAGAGTATACAGTAGGGATAGAATTAACTTTCAAAGCTGCCTAAACACAAAAACCTCTTAAGATCTTCAGAAGAGGAAAACGTGTTTCCAAATGGTATTTTTATTTTTCTGTCACAGACAGGGAGGGCTGCAGGTCTTGTATGAAATGATCAAGTATATTTCGTGTTTAAGGTTCTGCTGCAAAGTTGTTGTTACAATATTTTATAGTGCTTCTTATTTTTCCTTAGAAGACTGGACATTCCAATTTAAATAGTAATAATCATAGAATTATAGAACGGTTAGGGTTGGAAAGGACCTTGAGATCATCAAGTTCCAACCCCCCTGCCATGGGCAGGGACACCTCGCTCTAAACCATATCACCCAAGGCCTCGTCCAAACTGGCCTTGAACACTGCCAGGCATGGAGCATTCACAACCTCCCTGGGCAACCTATTCCAATACCTCGTCACCCTAACAGGAAATAATTTCCTCCTTATATCCAATCTAAACTTCCCCTGTTTAAGTTTGAACCCATTACCCCTTGTCCTATCACTACAGTCCCTAATGAAGAGTCCATCCCCAGCATCCCTGTATGCCCCCTTCAGATACTGGAAGGCTGCTATGAGGTCTCCACGCAGCCTTCTCTTCTCCAGGCTGAACAGACCCAGCTTTCTCAGCCTATCTTCATATGGGAGGTTCTCCAGTCCCCTGATCATTCTTGTGGCCCTCCTCTGGACTTGTTCCAACAGTTCCATGTCCTTTATATGTTGAGGACACCAGAACTGCACACAATACTCCACGTGAGGTCTCATGAGAGCAGAGTAAAGGGGCAGGATCACCTCCTTCAACCTGCTGGTCACACTCCTTTTGATGCAGCCTAGGATATGGTTGGCTTTCTGGGCTGCAAGCGCACACTGCTGGCTCATGTTCATTTTCTCATCGAACAGCACCCCCAAGTCCTTCTCCGCAGGGCTGCTCTGAATCTCTTCTCCAAATTAAACTCTAAAATAACGTTCCCCTTGAAACTACACCTATCATATATAACCTGGCCTGAGGTATCTATCAGGCAATATCGTCCTTTTGTCTGTTTTCTTCTACAACACAAGTTGGTTTTATATCTATTTTTTTGTCATACTAATGAGTAAGATTGAAATGTTTAATAACAGAGTTGTAAATGGAACATAATGTACAGAGTTTATATATACATTAGATTTTTCTTCAAACTCGGGGTTTTTTTTCATTTTACAGAAGACTTTTTCCGTTGTATGCAGGACTGTTCTAGAATAACTACTTATTTTGTCTACATGGAAATCAATGTACTTTTAAAGTGTTTTGTTTCCAATAACATGTTATTTGGATTAAAAAAAACCCAAAAGATATTCTTCTTTCTCCAATTTCCCTAGTTCTCAGCTTTCCTGTTCTCTGACAGCCAAATTGTGTTGTTGTTTTGCTCTGAATAACTCTCCATTTATCTTTTTTTTTCTCATTTATGATTACTATGTTTTAAAGTATTACTCCTTTTTTTGTACTGGTGAAAATGAAATAGATTTATATGCTCTTGTTAAGTGAAATTTATGTCCAGGAATCTTTTAACATTTCTAAGGAAAAAAGAAGATCAAGATCTTAACATATTTTGTTTACTTTCCCAAATTATGATTCACAACATACTCCCTTTTTTTTTATTTTTTTTAGCTTTAAAATCAGTGTGCATTTTTTCATCAAAGTCTTTATAAAGTGACCTGGAATATATTTCACCCTTTAGAATATACAAATGGCTCACTTGCATTGATTATTTGTTTATCTCATAACTGTTATAGAAATTTCCTGGGTTCTCAGATCCCAGCCACGTCCTGCTGACTTCAAGTGATATATATATATATATGCATAAATTCATATTGCTCAAACATGAAATTTTGTGAAGACAGAATCTGTTTTGTGAAACAGCATTAAACCTCTCAGAAAGCAGAAATGCTTACCCCTGTGGTGCCAGGTCTTAAAGCCTCCCATGTCCAAAAACATTCGTCTCTCTTTTAATGCTGGAAAAAAACCCCAGTTTATAAAACACAGACATTATAACTCACTCATCACCATAATACTCAGCTACTTGTTTTGTAATTTAAAATAACCTGAAGTTATGCCATCTGATTAGCTTGTTGTTGCAAACATGGAAAATTTAGAAATTATTTCTCAGTCAGGTCTCGTATGTGTTTTATTATGAGAGTAAACACCTGACTAGAATCTTTTAGCATGAAAAAGAGGAGACAGGCCAGAATATACATTAAAATTGAAAAGCTGACAGGGAACCCTATTTATTGACATTCCTGTGTGATGTTTGGTATTTTGGCATACTGCTAGTACACGTGTGGAGAGTGTTTCAACAGCTGCTGAGAGTTAGTTATCCTGACCCCAACACTGCTCTCAATCAGTTGTTGGCAGTTTCAGTATGTGCAACTATTTTTGTCTTCCAAGCATAGTGATAAACTTGATATTGTTTTTTCTGGCACAAGCCTTCAACAGCTAATAGAGTTATAGACTAGCAACATAAACCATAACAAGCTATGACTAATTAAATATGTAAGGAAGAAAAATGTTGACACAAACCAGCTAGATATCAAACTTAACTTTTGGATATGAGAGGCTT